GAGGATTAACTGTATGGGGACTGATGGCAGATGAGGAAGAAAGTGATGAACCGACTTGATCCAACTCGGGTATTGACAATACTGCACTACTGACCCTGGAATGAAGGAGACCCCTCCTCTGCAGAAGGGGACAGGTTCAGAAGAACTGTCCTGGAAGACTGAACCTGAGTTCAGCTGCTCTAAGAAGGAAGCCCTGGGGCAAAGATTCCCTTGCGAGGGCAGAGGGCTTATGGAATAAGAGGTGCTCAGCTCCAAGCTACCAGCCAGACTGCTGAGGGGGTAACTGCAGTTACTCCACTGCAGTCTTCCTGTGGCACTGGTTAATATGAAGCCTCCTGTCATGGCACAATCAGAAATACACTGAGCTAGTAAGAACGATGAAAGAGAAATCAGGGTGGAATGCTATGGCCCAGGTCCTCAGCCTTTGGTCCAACAGAGCCATTCCCATGTCCTGTAATGCCACCAACTAGCACATAGAGCTGGAATTGGCAGCTTCCAGGACCTTCTTGAGACATTTTCCATAGCAGCTGGGCACTCTGGACCCCAACATAAACCATTATTTGTTAAAAAAAGGGACAACATTCTTCTCTCACATGAACAGTTTGCTTAAAGGCAATACAAAAAACCCAAACACCACTCTTGAAAGCCAACTGCCAGTACTGGCTGTGAGGTTCACCAAAAATCTGACTTGACCAATTGGTGCAGTTAGATGGGACAAGGGGAGGAAAAAAAAAAAAATACACCTTCCTGCTAATAGATGTGGACAATAACTGACCTGCCACCTACACCAAACCCCAGCCAGAGGTATTTCAGTGACAGCAGGTAGCTGTGTCTCCTGGGTAGAAGAGAAGCAGTTTGAGAGCAGAAAGGTACAAGAAATCTAAGAGAATCATCTGAAAGCAGATTTGTCCCACAGCAGGGCCAGGGGAGGGAATGAGCCTTGGAGTTTTTCTGCTTAGCCAGCAATTTCCGTCACAGTGGTAACCAACTTCTGACCATTCCACACTGTCTTGAACTGTTCTGGGACAGGGAATTCAGTCTGGAGGGTAAAAATAGAAATCTTTTGTCAAAAAGCAGTTTATGAATGAGACTAGTAACTACTCCCACTGCTTTAGGCATTTCTTTTCTTAGATGCATGCTATGTCCCCTCCTATACCACAAATGCTGCCTGTTCTGCCCCTGAGGAAAAAGAAACTCTCACAAAACAGCGAGTATCTCACCAAAACCAACTTGATTTGCCAGTTTTAGCATCTGATCATCATTCACGACCTCCAAGTCGAGTTTAGAATCGTCCCTCCAGACCCCACCAACTGTGACATTTCCTGCAGGGCCCTGCGTTACCCCAGCCCCAAGCAGACCACAATGATTTCAAAACTGAACACTTACAAAGTCACCACCCTCTGTGGGAATAAGGACGTTCATCTCCGATGACTTGGCACTGACAATTTCGCAGTCTAGGGAGTTCTTGCTCAGATACACATGGCAACCGTCTGTCTTGTTGATGGAAATCGTTGGCACTTTACCCATTACCTAGCGGGGGGGGTGGGGGTGGGGGGGTCAAAGCAGCAGTTAGAGGAGCATTAGCTTGAACTGGGCAACCACAACATTTTTCTTTTGCGCTTGCCTTTGAGGCAAGAGGTTTGACTCTAACCCTCCTCCCGCTGCAGACACGCTGGATCCAAGTACTCCCACCTTTGACAAAAATCCAAAGTTACTTCTTGTTTTGATCTCTTCAGAACAAAACTACAGTGAACACTGGGCAAGTTGACCATCCCAAATTAGAGAGCAAAACTGGAATCAGAGTAGATTCTACTGCCAGCCCCCTAACTTTGGCAGTCACGTTGTGCTGCCCGCCTTGCAGAGACTTAACTAATCTTTTATCTAGAACCCTGAAGCAGCGCAGTGAGGCAAACTTCAGCCCTTTCCTAAGGGCTGGGCAGAGCGAGCTGCAGAGCAGTAGGACAGATGGCGTTTCATGAGTGTTCTCCACAGATGCATTCCTGTTCTGGAAATAAAACTCCTCAAAGAAGCAGATGCTACGGATGCCCTGTTGTACAGCGCATCAGTCATACTCCAGGCAGAGAAGTTACAGACACTCACCTGAACTTTAACGTCCCTGCTGTTTATGATCTCTACAATGCCCACCACGTCATCGAACACCAGCCCTAGCTTCTTACAGTTATCTGCAAAGGCAAGACAGAGTAGCTCACAGTAAGGTTCTGGAGACTCAGCCTTCTGCAAACAGACCAGCATGCAGAAGCAGTTTTCAGGGTGTCTCCACTTACCAAGGGTGATAGAGTTGATCTTGCCTTTGATTTGGAGTGTACTATTTGTGCACTTGAAAACATATGCTACCTGCTTCAACTCTGTGTCGCTGATTACCAGGTTAGTGGCATTCTCCTGGTTTTCCTGAAAAGGCAGGGAAAGCACACTTTATTTTTGGAACGCAGATTAATCCACATGAACAGCAGGGCAGTGCAGCCCCTTTAAAAGCAAACCACGTGCACGTTCAGGCTTGTGCCTCTTACTAGAGAGATGTTCAGGAGACCCTCCTTCCCTGCTGCAAAGCTCCCATCCCTCCAACCTGCTCAAGCCAACGCCAGGCACTCACCACTCTCCACTTTTTGCCCTCTAATTCTAGCAACGCAGGTGCCTTTGGAGAGGTTTTTTGAGAGGGATTAGGATTACAAGCTGGTTTGGGAGCAGTGAAAGGTTTGGGTCCACTTCTCAGAGGACCCCCTTGGTTCTTCAGTGCTGGATTCTTGTGGGTCTTCATGTCATCTGAAACATGTCTTAAGCCTGCAAGAGAAGTCAAACCTGAGACCCAGCTCTCCTCCAAGAATGCAGTTTCACAAACACCAGACATCAGTGATTACCACAATCATGGTAACATTTTTCAAAATGCAAATAAATTATTGAGACTGGGCCTAAGTTGAGTCCAAGCATG